AGAGACAGCACGAAGGCTGAACTGAAACTTTCTAGAAGTCCTGATTTATCATCCAGGTACAGCCTGTCAGCTCTGACCGCTGAAGCAGAGAGCTCAGAAGCTATTAAAGTGACACTTTCCTAATTTCCAATGCTTATGGCAAGCATAGCTTCTGACAACATCGGAAGATTGTGAATCATATTGCAACATAGTGATGACACCAAGGAGCACTGTGATGTAACAGTGGAACATTGTGAAGTCATATTGTAACATTTTGATGGAACATTGGAGCAAAATAACGGCACATGGGGCCATAGTGTTGGCACATTGGAGCATTGTGATTTCACAATGGAACATTATGAAGTCATATTGTATCATTGTGACGTCACATTGGGGGACTGTGATGGGACATTGAGCACCATGTTTCCATATTGAGCATAATGATGACAAAATGGATCATTGTAAAGACACAATTGTGCATAGTGATGGCACAATGAGCATTGTGATGTCACAGTGGAACATTGTGAATTCATATAGTAACATTTTCTTGGCAAATTTGAGCATTGTGGTGTCTCATTAGAGAATTGTGTTGTCATGTTGGATAATTGTGATGTCACAATGGAACACTGTGAAGTCATATTGTAACATTGTGATGGCAGATTTGGGACCATAGTGTTAGCACATTGGAGCATTGTGATGTCACAGTGGATAATTGTGATGTCACAATGGAACACTGTGAAGTCATATTGTAACATTGTGATGGCAGATTTGGGACCATAGTGTTAGCACATTGGAGCATTGTGATGTCACAGTGGATAATTGTGATGTCACAATGGAACACTGTGAAGTCATATTGTAACATTGTGATGGCAGATTTGGGACCATAGTGTTAGCACATTGGAGCATTGTGATGTCACAGTGGATAATTGTGATGTCACAATGGAACACTGTGAAGTCATATTGTAACATTGTGATGGCAGATTTGGGACCATAGTGTTAGCACATTGGAGCATTGTGATGTCACAGTGGATAATTGTGATGTCACAATGGAACACTGTGAAGTCATATTGTAACATTGTGATGGCAGATTTGGGACCATAGTGTTAGCACATTGGAGCATTGTGATGTCACAGTGGATAATTGTGATGTCACAATGGAACACTGTGAAGTCATATTGTAACATTGTGATGGCAGATTTGGGACCATAGTGTTAGCACATTGGAGCATTGTGATGTCACAGTGGATAATTGTGATGTCACAATGGAACACTGTGAAGTCATATTGTAACATTGTGATGGCAGATTTGGGACCATAGTGTTAGCACATTGGAGCATTGTGATGTCACAGTGGATAATTGTGATGTCACAATGGAACACTGTGAAGTCATATTGTAACATTGTGATGGCAGATTTGGGACCATAGTGTTAGCACATTGGAGCATTGTGATGTCACAGTGGATAATTGTGATGTCACAATGGAACACTGTGAAGTCATATTGTAACATTGTGATGGCAGATTTGGGACCATAGTGTTAGCACATTGGAGCATTGTGATGTCACAGTGGATAATTGTGATGTCACAATGGAACACTGTGAAGTCATATTGTAACATTGTGATGGCAGATTTGGGACCATAGTGTTAGCACATTGGAGCATTGTGATGTCACAGTGGATAATTGTGATGTCACAATGGAACACTGTGAAGTCATATTGTAACATTGTGATGGCAGATTTGGGACCATAGTGTTAGCACATTGGAGCATTGTGATGTCACAGTGGATAATTGTGATGTCACAATGGAACACTGTGAAGTCATATTGTAACATTGTGATGGCAGATTTGGGACCATAGTGTTAGCACATTGGAGCATTGTGATGTCACAGTGGATAATTGTGATGTCACAATGGAACACTGTGAAGTCATATTGTAACATTGTGATGGCAGATTTGGGACCATAGTGTTAGCACATTGGAGCATTGTGATGTCACAGTGGATAATTGTGATGTCACAATGGAACACTGTGAAGTCATATTGTAACATTGTGATGGCAGATTTGGGACCATAGTGTTAGCACATTGGAGCATTGTGATGTCACAGTGGATAATTGTGATGTCACAATGGAACACTGTGAAGTCATATTGTAACATTGTGATGGCAGATTTGGGACCATAGTGTTAGCACATTGGAGCATTGTGATGTCACAGTGGATAATTGTGATGTCACAATGGAACACTGTGAAGTCATATTGTAACATTGTGATGGCAGATTTGGGACCATAGTGTTAGCACATTGGAGCATTGTGATGTCACAGTGGATAATTGTGATGTCACAATGGAACACTGTGAAGTCATATTGTAACATTGTGATGGCAGATTTGGGACCATAGTGTTAGCACATTGGAGCATTGTGATGTCACAGTGGATAATTGTGATGTCACAATGGAACACTGTGAAGTCATATTGTAACATTGTGATGGCAGATTTGGGACCATAGTGTTAGCACATTGGAGCGTTGTGATGTCACAAAGGAACACTGTGACTTCATATTGCAACATTTTGATGGCTCTATGGATCAATACATAGGCACATGGGGTAATAATGTTGGCATACTGAAGCATTGTGACGCCACACTGGTGCATTATGAAATGACAAAGGAACATTTTGAAGTTATCTTTTAACATTTTGATGGCACTATAGAGAAATATAATGATACATGGGCTTGAACTGAAAATAATGGAGAAAAGCACCATGAATAGTTGTGGCTATATTATAGAAAATAGGGTAAATAAAATTGTGTCACAAGGAGCTTTATGACTTTGAGGGCAGACCTCTGAGACTCACACACATTGTGGAGAAGTGATAGGAAAATAGTCTGACCATTTCACCTGCTAAAATAGAACAGTAATGCTTTTACCCCTTTTTCTTTTAAAATTCTTTTTAAGACTTCATTGAAAAAGAATTACGGCTTTAAAATTCTTTTCAAAAAATCCTACTCATATGTGATTGTTTGAATGAAAATGTCCCCCATAGGCTCCAAGTGTTTGGACATTTTGTCCCCAGAAGATGGCGCTGTTTTGGGAGTTTTCAGAAGGTGTGGCTATCCTGGAGGAAGCATGTCACTGAGGGTAGGCTTACAGAGTTCTTAAGCCTGGCCAAATCTCCAGTCAGTCTCTCGATTCCTGTGCCTGCATGATGATGTGAGGGCTTCACTTCTACTGTTCCTGCTTCAGCCACCTCCAGCCACCATGCCTCCCTGCCATGATGGATGGTAATTCCTCAGGAACCGTAAGCTCAAACAAACTCTTCCTTCTATAAATTGCTTTGATCAGTATTTCTATCACAGCAAGAGAAAAGTGACTAATACAACATACATAGTATCTTCAGCAATAAGGTCTTACCATTAAG